GAGAGAGAGAGAGAGAGAGAGAGAGAGGGGGGGGGGGGTTGCTGAGTTCCAGTTGACTCACTCAACATAAGATAATAATGGTAAGAAAAATGTAAAATAATTCTAAATTTCAAATCTTGTGGGTTTTTTTTTTTGGCAACTTGTATGGTATCTATCAATATATTGTTCACCAGTTGTCAAATATAAATATATTTATAAATACTGAAAGAAATACTCACCAGAGAAAACAGCATCTCCTGCCTCTGTATACTCAAACTTGGCATCCATTCCAGCATCATATTTGGAAGCCATAACATCCTGAAAATAAGTTCCCTGTCGTACTTCCCATCCTTCTAAGGACTCGGCATTTTTAAATTTTGCAATCAGAAGTTTGCTCTTACTACTCTTTCCAGCTCGTAACTGCGCTAACCTGTTGTTGTAATCCTGCACAACTCATTATTTTGGGCAAATGGCTTCATAAATTTGCATTATACAAATGAAAACCATTGGATATGAGCTGAAAGTAAGTTGATTGTAAAAGTAAACCTGAAAAGCTTTGCTTATGTTGTAAACTCCTTGATAATCGACTCTGTTAAGGTCTCCAGTGATCGAAGAACGAGCAGTGGCGCAGAAGATTATCTTATTGCATCCTTCCACTGCACCCTTGAGTGTCGAAGGTTCACCCACATCACCAACAACAATCTCGACTGGCCTTGGAAGCATATTTATGACGTCCTCATCAGCTTTTCTCACCAGAGCCTGATTCAATGGAATAACTCATCATGATTGATGCCCAGGCATGACTCGAAAAAAATTCAAACCTGGGTACCATTTACTGCATGAATCAATTACATAGGGGACATTGGAGTTTTCCAGAACCATTTTGTGAGATCATGGCAAATTAAACAAACACAATGCAATACGCAGCAGTATCCACTTGCAATGATTATGTATAACTTGAGCTTATATATGTAAAAGATGCAAAAAGGTTATACTGCTGATTAACCTTGTCATGATAATCACCTTTTTTTCAGTCTGCATGATAAGGAATACCTCCTTCATGAGTTCACAATTCTCATACCAAATTAGGATTTAAGAAATATTGAGCAAAATTCTTAGACCCCTATCTCAGTTTCACAAAATTAAGGGTATACTTCTAAGACCCAATAAAACGTTTCCAAAAGCATAATTCCTTTAATCACAAGTTCATGAACATAAGAGCAAAAATTCTTAGACCCAACTGCAGGATCGCAAAATTAATGGCACATTACACATTCAAGAAATTAAGGGAAAATTTCTTGGCCCACTCTTTGCAGTCAGACACATAGTTAAGAGAAAAACTCCTGGAACTAGCCTTAAATTCACAAGATTAAAACCATATTCTTAGACCCATCTTGTACCTTTAAGGATCCATTTCCTCACTACAATTCGCCAATTTTACTTGTTGCTCCAACCACAAGCACTATAGTTTCTTGAGCTCCAGAAATTGTAAAATCGCATATTGGTCCCCTTATAAGTTCATCATCATTCATTGTCCTCAATTTTGATGTGTTGTTTTCCATCCAAAGAGACATACTTATTGCTAATTGTCTATCCACAAAACTAAAGCTGGATTTTTAAGTCTAAAATGAATAATGAAATTAAAAGCAATATTATGAGACTTGTTTGCAGATTTCAAGGAATTGTCAGAGCTAATGGCAGATTCATAGAACTAACTGCATATTTCTCAGACCAAATTAGGATCCACCAATATGAAGCAGAATTCTTAGATTAACTGATTAAGAGCAAAATTCTTGGACTCAAATTCAGTCTCACAAAATTAAGGTCATCGTTATTGGCCGCTTGGACCCAATAGAAAGTAGTAAAAAATTCCAAGCATAATTCCTCTAATTTAGATATTCATGAGCGCGAGAACAAAAATTCTTAGACCCAACTCCAGGATCACAAAATTATTCAGTCAGATATCGTCAAGAATTCCAGAAATTAAGAGAAATTTCTTAGACCACCCTTCAAGTTAAGAAATGTAAAGGATAACTGTTAGAATTAGAACTAACTTCAAACTCACAATATCAAAATTCAAAAAGCATAATTCTTAGACCCAATTCGCAAATTACCTTGACCTTATACCCTCTAAGCATCAATTTCCTCACTAAAATTCGGCCGATTCGACTGGTTGCTCCAACCACAAGCACCATAGTATCCTGAGCTCCAGGAATTGTGAACTCGCACATTGGTCCCCTTACAAGAACAGTGGCCAATTCATCATCAGTCCTTGTCCTCGAAAGTTGGCCTAGCCCAGAGAACTTTTGCCACACTTCATCGAATATTTGCCTCGATTTTCGACCGAGCCCAACCGGATTCACATCTTCAAGGCTCATTGAAACTGCTTGCTTGCCTTCCCCCTCTTTCTTATCTCTAGACTCATTTCTTGGAGAGAGAAACTGGACGCGTCTGTGCTTTGTCGACGAGTTAGTGAGAGAGAGGTCCTGGATCAGAGGAAACCCTAGAAATGTCGACTTCTGGTTGGCTTGCTTCGATGTGGAATTAGGATTCCGTAAACCAGAAGGAGAAAGGGGAATTTTGCTGGAGACTGCCATTAATTTGCCAGAAAGGCCAGGTTTTTTGCTTCCAAATGTTACAGTCTAAACTAGTTGTTGCAGAAACAACTGTGTACAGCAGAAAGAGAGAGAAACAGTGTAGTTGCATAAACAAGTGAGATGAAGCTCTGTGCTTCAAGATACTTCACCCCAGCTGGAAGAGAGTGTAATATTAAGAGAGAGAAAGACTTATGAGAGAGAAATGTTAATAACCAGTGAATTGTGTTTTTTAAAATGTGGCGGGGAGTAGAGAGAGAGAGAGAGAGAGAGAGAGAGAGAGAGAGAGAGAGCGT